TTACTGGATTGGAATATTTTAGTTGCATAACGGCAAACACGCTATTTCTTAATTTATTATTTTAGATGCTTCCTTCAAGACTATAAATTCTTCAAACTTATTGCGTGATACTTTCATATCAGTTAATGATTAACATATTGAAATTTCTGATCTTAAATCGATTTTTTTTTCAAATTTATTTAAATTAATTTCTTGTTTTTAAATTATTTTTTTCGATAATCTTGTAGTTTTCTTCGTTTTTTTTTCCTTTAAAATGTTCTATTTTCTTAAAACTCCAAATTCGAGAAATGCATTTCAGAGCAATGGCTTCTTTATGCTCATGCGCTAAGAAATGACAAAGTGAAGGAAAACCAGAAGAACTTTACGTTCTCAATTTCGAAAATATTTTTTTCTTTTATTAAAAAACATAAAATTAATTGCATTTATCATAAGGAGCAAGGAAAACATGAAAGTTTTACTGATGTGTGTGTATGTAAAGTGTTAAAGTTAATACTGCATGATGAAAACTGTTGAAGTAGCTGTTTGTCTATCTATGTATCTATCTATAAAATCAGCAACGAAAATTATATTTTTCTAAAAATCAGCCGACCAAGTTAATGCTGAAAGATAAACGTATGAGATAGGTTAATAATAATAATAATAATAATAATAATAATAATAATTATATTTATAATAATAATAAAGTACCTCCTTATTGATATGGCAGTCCCTGCAGACTGCAATGTATCTTTGAAGATATTCAAAAAGCTATCAAAGTACAAGGAACTTGAAATAGAAATCTTAAAAACGTGGCATATGGGAACATCAACAATCCCTGTTGTAGTTGGAGCCCTCGGATTGATTGGGAAAGACTAATTGAAGGGATTCCTGGAAGTCCATGCCTCAAAGAGATACAAAAAATTGTTCTCACAAGTACAGCCCACACTTTACGAAGGGCTTTATCTATGTAATTTTTTTTTTTTTTTGTCAGTGGAAAGTGTCATAATGCCATTTCTAACCTTAGGTCCCTAGACGGGAGCCGGAAAGAAATGTGTAAACGCCAGAAATCAAAGGAAATAGCAAAGCCGTGAAGTTTTTACTGGTATTTCTAGTAATAATAATAATAATAATAACTATCTTTAACTAGTGAATATTTTTAATTTCTGTAGAATCCTAAATTCTTCAGTTAATGATTGTATGACCTCACGATAATAAAATATCCGTAGAAATTGCCTTATCGCATCATGAAATATTTGAGCTGAACAACTTTAACAAAATATTGCAATAACAATCATAAATAGAAATGCTGGTCGTTATTTTAAGAAGTGGGTACAAATGAAAATATTTGAAATTGACAGTTTTTTGCATTCCATTGTAACTGTGGAAAAATAAGTGAAATTACCTGCTCTAATGGGGCGGGCGTCGGACGTAGAAACTGAGTGGTTGACGGCTTCTAGTTTATCAAAGCGAGGCTGCTGCAGCGCACTGATTTTGTAGTCTTTTGTTACCGGAAGGGTGGGATGCGCATGTCTGCACTTTGTTATTTAAGGTTTGCCTTCTACTCCTTTCGGCATCTTTTATTTTTGAGAAGGACATTCATATTTCTAGGGATAATAATAATAACTACCTTTAACAAGAGAAATTTTTAAATTTCTGTAGAATCTTAAATCCTTCAGTTAATGATTGTATAAGCTCAGGATAATAAAATACCCGTAGAAATTCCCTTATCGCACATGAAATAACAACTTTAACAAAATATTGAAATCACAATCATCAATGTGAATGCTAGTAAGAAGTGGGTACAAATGAAAAGATTTGAAATTGACAACTTTTTTTCCCATTTCACTCAAACAGACGTTAATCTAGTTTATTTTCCCTTCTTTCTTTATTTCATTTTATTTCTGAAACCGAGTAGCGTCTTTGATATTTCTTTCATCTTCTCACGCAATCAAAATCAAGACGCAATAGTTCATTATTTATGAGGTATTAACAGGAGACGTTAAACACTTGTATCTTTCCGTTTTTCATTCTTTTTCTTTTTTTTTTCACTGAAATCAAGTAGCTTTATTCATAAGTATTTTGTCTTTCCACGCGATAATCCATCATTTATGAAGTATTGGTGAGGCGTAACGGTAGTGCGAACTAAAGAAGAACAGGACAAGGACAACAACAACAACAGCAATAATAATAATAATAATAATTTTAGTCTAGCTGTTCAATATCTCTCCTTTGGATTTGATGAAACTCAGTGTCGAGATTTTTAGAGCAATATTTAGTAATTTTCTTGCAATAATTTCACTCAACATATTTAGTGACGTTGAAATGGAGTCGGAGAAATATTTGCTGGAGATGCTCACCAGCGCTGAAGCTATTTACATATATATTAAACAACGTTATTTTTTTTTATCTTTTGGAGCAGAAATAGTTGTAGATAATGGATTATCTATTTTTCATCGTATTAATCCTCCACACGTTTCTGTTCAATAATGTGATTTTTTTTTCAATCGTCCAGTGAACGGCTCTCAAATTTGTATGTATGAGTTTGCGCCTAGCATAGAGTTTATCAGTGAGGATATTATAATTTGCGTAACGAGTTCAAATTCAAGCTGAGGCGATTGTTTTTCTCCAAATACTCTTGACGAGGTATGAATTCATCGTTTCTCCTCTCCAGGTAGTGGTTAATAGCAGGGCAGACTGGGCTCTCCAGTTTTTGGTTAGTAAGCAGAATAAGCAATGAACAACTTTTAATTCAAAACAGGTTTGGCATGGGTTTGGAAACTCAAACTTAATACGGAAACCCCAATAATGTGATGAGGGTGTATCTCTATACTCCACAGGGATGTCTTTCTGGTTAATGACAGAACATAATTCATCAGTTACATCGATTTTAATTAAAAGGCTTTAGAGTAGGTACCTTCAAAATTTTTCCAAAAAAGAGCATAGCATGAAGAAAAAGGCCCCAGATTTGATAAAAATAGTTTTATTGTCAAAATGTTTATATTAATATTAATATTAAGAACCAAATAATTTTTTCTATTTTTTATTACATTTTTTAATCCATTCTAGCACGTTCTAAATTTTCGTTAAAATTCTTGTTTTTTTTTCTCGTCAGCGGGTGGGCGAAAGATTAGTAGGAGAAATGAGTCTTTTTGCGGTAAAAAAACAAAAAACAAAAAAAAAAAACATTGTTTTGAAAATTCTGCCAAAAATCAAAAACTGACGGATTTCAATGAAATTTTCAGGATTTATGCACAATCTTAGTAAAACCATTTTCGTTACATCTGTTAGTTTTATGAAATTTCGAGATGTTAAAATTCCATTAGTTAGAAGCTGGAATCCTTGAAGAATTTAAACCATCACCTTTTTTTTGTTAAACAGAAACACCGTTTACCAAAAATCTGCTTTGAACCGTAAAATAGAAAATACAACAAAACTATGACATTATTTAATTCGAAAAGCTTTTAACTGCTTTTATAAATAAATATATTAAGGGTACTAAAGTCTTAAGAAAAATCTTTTTCGATGAATAATGAATTTTTACAAGAATTGTTTTCATTTCTTAGAATTCTAATTAGAAGAATTTATTCAGTTTTAAATCTTTTAAATCTTTTTTAATTTTATATTAATTTCAGCCTTTTAGATGATATCATTATTAAGTGAAAATTATATTTGCTAATCCTAAATGGAAAGCTTTATACAAATAAACATCAATATTTTTAAAATATTTTTGAATGTTTTCATTAATGTATTAACGCGCCTTTTTTTGTAAGTACAGACGAACATAGACGACATTATCAGGAAAATAAGAGAGATGACTATAGTAAATTTAAAGCCAATATTTCTAAAATTCAATAAAACATTAGTTTACGGAAAATATTTTCCTAAATTTTTAAGGTAATTGAGTGCTTAAAAATTAAATAAAAATGCGCTCAATTTTCTTCAATTGTTTTACAAATACACTTCGTAGAGCAGATTTAGATCCGTCATCAACTCGCCTAACACGTCAATACGACTACTTCCGGTTATAAACACAGCTACTGTCTGGTAAATAATGGATTTCTGTGATATTTTAAACTTAAAGTAAATATTTGCTTCAGATCCGATTAATTATACTTTAAATCAGATAATATTCCACAAATAAAGTTTCAGAAAAGTATATTTTTTAATTATGGAAGATTTTTTTTTATTAAAGAATTACATTGCAATGAAAGATGACTTAAAAAGGCGTTAATCAACTATTGCAGAAAAAAAGAAAAGAAAGCGAAAATCTTTTCAGTCAATTTAAATTAGTTTTTGGTATAGAGTAAAGTATTTTGCTTAATGGAAATATTAAATTTATTCTATTAGCTTGAAAGTAAAACTAAAATAAAAGCTTCAAGAAAGACTTTTAATTAAAAAAACAAAACATTTTAAACTTTAAGTATAGTGTTTTTGTGGAGATTCATACTTTATAGTATTGCTATTTACACTGACATTTTAAAAATTCCAGGTATTTTTTTATGATGTCGGATATACAATTTCTTTTAACTTTAAAAAAAAAAAAGAAATAAAAGGTAAAAATATATATATTTATTGCAAGACAGAAAAACGAGCAACATGTCTGGAGAAAGGAAATGAAAGAATGGTAGGATGAAAAATGGCGATGCCTTAGTTGCGTTTACCGCCATTTTTCTGTCATTGTTTTCGCTTTTTCCTTTTATTTTTATTTTGTTAACGACAAGATAAAGCACAAAGGAAGATGTCTGCAGCTTTCGAAAAAAAAAAACTCAAAAACAACAACAACAACAAAAAACTCTTCTATTTATTAACCTTGTCATCTGGAAGCTCTCAGTAGAACGTGAATACTTTGTGAGATACTCAGAGTTTTTTATTTGAACCAGTAAACTACTGATAGTGTAACAACTCATTATTCCATGCGTCATTTCGACGAGAACTTTTTCCTCTCATTTTATGTTAATACTTTTCTTTGGCATTGTTTATTAACAATCTAAAAATATACGCTAGCATATTCAATGATGAGGATGCCTCAGAGTTTGGTAAACAAGGCTAAGGTGGTTGACTACTATCAATGAGATCGATCCTCCTCACTGTGTGCTCCATACAAAATTCGACATTTAATAATCCACCGTCCTGTGTATGATGATAAACTACATCCGCGTCCAGGGTAAGATATTAAACTACGTTCAACAGCTATATTTAGCTGCCCCCGCCCACGTAGGGTAGCATGTGGCACAAGGCCGAGTTTAACGTGGTCATCCGAGTCCGTAGGCCCGACCAAAAATATAGCCTTCGAACCCGCCTAGGCGGGCCCGAGAACTGTCAACCTCCCCGAACGAAACCTTGCCCTTCGGCAAAGCTTCGTCCAGGTTCCTCTCTGCTAATGCAGAGAGTTAAACAGACGGCGGTTGCTGTAACTTTAATACAGCTACAGTCCAACTACGTTCAACAGCAAGGCCTCTGATCAGGAGGTTTTGAGAAGCGTGGAACCACTGCATAAGTGTTGGTGTTCCCAGGTCCACACTGACCCGGGGTGGTAGCATCTGTTAGGGTCTTAGCTATGGAAAAATAGTTGACCCCCAAACTGGGGTCAAAACACTTTGAAAGGGTAAAAATAGGTTTTAATATCAGCAATTCATTTTCGTAAAAAAAATATTGCCAGCAATGAATTTTTAAAGAAAAATCTATTACCAGCAATACATTTTTGAAAAAAAAAATATTACCACCAATATATTTTTGATAAAAAAATAATGCTAGGAACACATTGTTTTTTTTTAAAATATTAACAGCTATATATTTTTGAAAGGAATTTTCACAGAAATGCATTTTGCAAAAAAATATTGCCAGCAATAAAAATCCTGTCGGTCTTAAATAACCCGTTGAGGTTGATATACTGTAAAACAAACCAAACCAATCCTGGTGCTTTGAAGACAAATCTGCTATAATATAAACATGAATGAGCTCTTTAAGAAAGCAAAAGCGGATGATATATCATTTCTTAAAACAGTCGACCTCCACAAAAATTATAAACCAAATGTGAATGTCAATAAAATCAATTTCTCCACAAACTGTCTATCCGAAAAGAATACATCAATGAAGCCAGACTCTCGACAAAATATCCTCTTACAAAAACGTTAACGAAACATTATCTACAAACCAATTTCTTACAAAGAATAAATATTTTAGTTATATGAATCTCTTGTAAAAATTTTTTCCGCATTAAATAACCCATTGAGGTGATGATATGCCATAAAGCAAAACAGATCAAACTTTACTGATAGAATCTTGGCAAAGGCATGAATTCAGTTCTCTCAATCGGCCAGACCACACATTTCACCCTTATGCTATTATCAGTCGTTCAGTCGTTTGCATGTTACTTGGAGAGTAGTTGAGTAACGCCAATTAATTTCCATTGAACCAAAACCTCTAGAGAACACGAAAATAATTTTAAATATTTCTTTTGATGTGGATTAAAGGTGGGGATCGTCTACCATGGAATTAGTTCGTCCATTTTTACCATATGGCAACCTTTTTTCGATTACTGAATATCGGATTCTGTATTTGTTACACAGTGAGGATTGATATCACTATTCAATGGTAATGGTCAACCAGAAAAGTCTCTATTACCGCGCGTCAAAACGCCTCCCATCATTGACCAGTTGATTAATTGGGTTTATTATATAGCATGTCAGCCCTTGATTATTTGATACCGCATTTTGCACGAGGCCCCTAGTGCGGTTCAAACTCACTATTCAATAGTAGCAGTCAACAAAATTAACCTCGCTAAACATTACCACACGCTGATGCCCCTATTAAGTTAGATTGGCTGATTAAACCACATTTAAAGACTTGTTGGTCTATTTAATTTCTAGGCCCCCCAGTGAGGATCGAACTCGTTACTTAGTAGTAATGGGTAGTAACTGAAAACTATTACCGCACTCCAAGGCGCCTCTCGTCAGTGATTGATAGCTTGGTTGGTTATACATGTCTGCCATTTTGGATTATTAAATGGTTTGTTTTGTTTTATAGTATATCAACCTCAATGGGTTATTTAATGCCGACAACTTTTTTTCCTGGTAATATTTTGTTTTGTCAAAATTCTATTTTTGGTAATATTTT